TTTTTGCAAACAAAAATTTCTGTAACATCTTAGGCATGTACCTAAATACAGAAATACACTGACAGGCAAAAAATTCCACCCACTTGATTTTTTCATGTTTTCATCTAAAAATATTTCTGCCACTTGTAAAAAAGTTGTATTTGTATATAATACATGGTATTTGTAGATAATACTTAGTATTTATGGAATTTTATAATCTTTTTTACCTTTAATAATCAAAATGTGATTGAGTAAGAAAGATTAGAGAAAAAAAAAATTGAAAAGTGAACCATTATTATTCTAAAAGAAATTAATTACATCATCGTTTAGTAGCGCTTGTTTCCTCCTCTTGCCTTCACTACTTCTTGAAGATGCCTCGGCATACTTTCCACCAGTCGGGAAATGTCCCTTTGCTGTAGGATAGCCCATCTCTCTCGAAGAGCCCTTTCAAGGTCCTGCAGTGTATCAGGAAGTGTTATCCCATAAATGCTCAATGGGGTTCAAATCTGGAGAACATGCTGGCCAGGCTAAAACCTCAATATTGTTCTGTTGAAGGAACGTCTGCACTATGCGGGCGTGCATAGTGCAGACGTTCCTTACATATGGTCGTGCATTAGAATAGAATGATCGCCGATTTCGTTGAGGATAGGCAACACATGAGGTTCCAAAATCTCATCTACATAGCAAATGGCTGTAAAGACCCTCCACGAACAACAACCAATTCTGTGCGGCGCTCTATTGAAACCCCAGCCCACACCATTAAGGAACCACGTTGGAAAGGTTGGATCTGGGAAAAATTACAGGCTGCATATCTTTCATTTCTTCTTCTCCACACCCTTTCACGTCCATGTGGAGGTCGAAGAGCGAATCTTGACTCATCTGTAAAAAGTACAGCACTCCATTTGTCCATAGTCCAATGGCTGTGTTCTCGAGCAAAAGCCAGCCGTGTTACTCTGTGAGTTCTGGTCAACTCTGGTCCTCTTACTGGACGAAAAGCCATTAATCCATACTCATTTATTCTTCTCCGAGTGGTACGTTCAGAAATTTGCACACCTCGAACTTCTTCGAGTCGAGAGGGTGAATCGCTTGAACAACGGTAAGGTGCCGGTTTCGTAAAATTCTCAAAGTCAAAAACCGGTCATCCCGTGGTTCTGTTACCCTAGGCCGTCCAGAACCAGAACCGTAAGAACCAGTTTCCGGAAAACGCCTGACGGCGTCTCGTAAAGTTTCATATGGAACTCCGATGGCATTAGCTGAATATCTAATGGAACATCCATCATCAATAAGTGCCACACCACTCGCAACATCCTCAGCACTAAGAGGCATTTTTAAAGTTAATATTGAAAAAATTAAAAGATCGCACTGAACTAATGATACTGAATAAACATTTTGATTCCATAGAAAGTAAACATTAGAATTTAGAATCATTTCATTAGATTAAGGGTTATTGTCCTCTATATTAACATTCCTAATTGAAAACAAACAAAAAGATCACCTATTTATTCATTGAAAACAATAGACCAATCCAAAGCAGAAATATTTTTAGATGAAAACATGAAAAAATCAAGTGGGTGGAATTTTTTGCCTGTCAGTTTATATACTAGATCATAGAGTAGCCCGATATACACTGTCAGTTTATATACTGAAATTAGTAATTTCAACTCAATACGTCCTTTCTTTTTTGACCTAGGCTGTTCACACACACAGCCTATTTAATCTTAAAACCTTATTTTCTATTGAAAACTTAGATTCAAAAGGTTTATGTTCACAATACTTTTCCTTACTATATATGTCATGTACTGGGAAGTGAAAATAAAAATGAGGCTTATCCTGTTAACCAGGGAATAAAATTTTGTATAACTCGTTTCACTATGGGGACTTTTTTCTTCATAATTATAAGTAATATCATACTTGAAGGAAGTTAGTCGACTGTTCTACATATCATGGGTGATAAATATTCAGGACGCAGTCTTTTTTAAAATTTTATTTTATTTTTGCCAACGTTTCAACCCAAACATGTGGGTCATCTTCAGGGCTGAAAATGTTTTTTTTTAATTACAATCAGAGATATAATAGTATACGACCGCTAATTATAAATAATAAACTATAGTGATTAATGGCACATGAATCTTAACTAATATAGTAATACACATATTAAAATAGTTATACAAACTAAAAATAAAAAATAATGTATATAATCCATTTATATAAATGGATAAAAATAATGTATATAATCCATTTATATAAATGGATTATATACATTATTTTTTATTTTTAGTTTGTATAACTATTTTAATATGTGTATTACAATATTAGTTAAGATTCATGTGCCATCAATCACTATAGTTTATTATTTATAATTAGCGGTTGTATACTATTATATCTCTGATCGTAATTTAAAAAAAAACATTTTCAGCCCTGAAGATGACCCATATGTTTGGGTTGAAATGTTGACAAAAAAAAAAATTTAAAAAAGACTGCGTCCTGAATATTTATCACCCAAAGTAATATAATTTATTTATTCCGACAAAATATTGTATAACATATTTTATAAGAAAGAAAGAGATAATTGTTCATACCCGGATAACAGTTTAAGTTGAATCTATGTTGACAAACTATTTTCCACTCGAATTAAGAAAATAAAAACTATTGACAACTATAAATTAAGAAATGTATTGACAATTTAATTTAAGAAGGTGGGAGGGCCGAGCGGGCTAAAGCTTATGCAAACCACGCATTGTCCGGTAACTCCGGACTCAAGATCAATATAAGAATCAACACTCCAAATAAAACCAGTCAATATTTTATATAATTTCAACTATTGATTGAAATTATCTTTTTTAATTGTTTTGTTTTTTGCTATAAAAAAAAAGTTTATGTGCTACCCAAGTACTCAGATCTCTACGGCAAGAATTCAATTCCCTCACGGGATGGTAATATCCTCATCTAGAGATTTACTGGGAGGTGAGTGATCCTTGTGTCTTACACAGGTTTATAGATAGACCAACACCAAGGAAATCAATCATAAACTTTTCCCCAATTTACGAGAGAATTAGTGTATTGATATTGAAGTTCATTGGTTTAATATCACAATTATTTACCTGTATGCACCAAGTGAAAATAATGATGAAGTAGTGAAGGATAATGTATACATTAAAAATATTGTGGCATAAATATGATATAAAATAGTCATAAGTAACTTTAATGCCAAGATATGATGAGAAACTCTATTTATCCCCATACTAGGGGAGCTAAACTCTTCTTAAAATGAGTATTAACTATGGAGTGTGATGTATTAGTCTGGCAGCAGCTATGAGTCTTATTGTTAGCAATACAAAGTACACCCACTAACCAAATTCCAACTTGAATTAAAGAATAAATTTGAACCCTTGGGCTCGGAGAGCCTCGTGATGGACCAACTAAGCTAAAAGGAACAACTAAGGAAGTAATAGGTATTCAGAAGAAATGAAAAGCTCAGAAGTGGTTCACAGAAACACATGAAAAGGCATTGGAGAAAAGTCCTCTGCCTAGCAGAAACTCAAGTCATTCTGGACAATCCAGAAAAATCTCTAGAATTCATAAATTAAGGATGTACAATGATATGATAAAGCCAATTCTGATTTAATGCTGCGAGACCTGGACTGTAACTAGCACTCTAGAGAGAAAGAAGTATTGAAAGATTTAAGAGGAAAATCCTCAGTACTTACAGGTGAAGGAGATGTACTAATAAAGAACTGATTACAGAAACTGGTTAATTAATATCTCATGGTATAAAGGTTAGGAGGTTTAGGTGATCAGGGCATGTAGCTTGGAGCAATCCATCAGTAAACAACTACACAACAATGAATGCATAAACTGGTATGCCGTGTGGGTTGTGGGCTGTCAGGGTGGAGATTTTATTAAATGTCCCTCCCCCCATTTGCTTTAAATTTCAGTAACTTATCACTAATCACATTCAATTTGTATTAGTTAGTTTTTCTTCCATTAATAAAAACTTAATTTATCTTTATCTCTCTGCATTTTTCAGGATGAATAATTCTCTGCTCTAAATGACAGTTTTGTTAGAATTTAGATGAAAATTAATAAAAAAATAAGTGAATAAAATTAACAATTGAAACAATTATATACTTCATGCACTATATTTGTAGTATATCACAGCTTCTATATTCCGGCCCTTTGTTACTCTGGCACATTCATCTATTTAAAAAATAAAGTTATAGAATTATTATTTTATAAAGGACATAAAGTTCTTTTTAAAAGTGATGGGCACATCCAAGTTATCCGCCAACATTCCATGTTTATCATTTTTTTAAACAAACATCTAAGGACACTGTATAAGTATCAAACCAGGAGACCGAACTTTGTTGTATATACTATATTATTCACAACTAGTGTGTTGTCTTCTATTTCTGGATTAACCTTAACATCTATGGGCACGTGCTGCAAGGGCAGGAGGTAATGCTATATTATACATAAATATGTATATATCAATCAAATCATGCCCCTCCCCTCCCCCCCCCCTTCCCAAGTGACAGCCCTTTGCCTCAACAGTAGAGGAGATACCACTTGGAAGGCCCAACGCTAGTAGAGGGGTGGATTGAATTAGTAAAGAAGCTGCATTCAGATAACTAGGAAGCAATAGCCCAAGTGATGAAGAAGGTTAATTAAAGTGACAAAAGATCTACAGGGACTATAAAGCCAACAGAAAAAAATATAAATATGTTCTAAAGTTAAAACAAATGAAACTTTATAATTAATTATTTCATAATTTTTACTCATTTTCATTATAATCAAATATATAATTATTTTTATATTTAATAAAACGGTTAATTTTAGTATTAGATTAGTCCTGCTTACATAATTATTATAAATTCATTCTTAAATTAATATGCATAAGTTATTATCTGACCAAAATCATTTTTATAATACTTCATCCAGTTAGACTGCATGTTCTTCCTGAAATAAGCTTTGTTTAAAGAATGAAAAATAAATAATAATTTATTGTTGTTTTGTTTTTTTAGGCTTTCCAATATTTGCTTGGAGAGGTGAAACCGAAGAGGATTTCTGGTGGTGTATTGACAAGTGCATAAATGCAGAAAATTGGCAGCCCAACATGATACTTGATGATGGTGGAGATGCCACTCATTTAATGCTCAAAAAATACCCAGGACTATTTAAAGCTATTAAAGGTATTTAATAATTTAAAAACTGATATTAATAATGTGTTAAGTAAAATAAACGTTTGGTTTTCTAAGTTGTAAGTTGTTTATTGATCATTGTATGTAAATCAATCTGTGAATGACTTCACCTTCATTCAAAAGGGAAGTTCACCTGATGGAGACTAATAAGGCTTTCTGTCGCATTTGTGTCATAATATTGAGCTGTTTTTATTTTTTTGCGTTAGTTATCATTTTTGTCTATATCATTTTCTGTTTTTTGTTATTTTAAAGACATTATTTGTTGTTTTAAATGGGATTTTAAGTATGAATGCTGCATGTTAGGTTGACCAAGTGGTTATCCACAAGTTTTTAATCACCTAAAGCATTGGTTTAACAGACAATTTTAGAAAAGTGCTTTTAGTAACTTAACAATATTCCTTCTACAGCAATGTAGTTGATGAGAAAGACAGAATGAAGAGAGGATTGTTGAAGAAGAAGGAACTCTCAAAAATCTATAGTTTTTGTTCAAAAAGCCAAGGAATAGATCATCTGATATTATTCATGAGTTCAAAATGGCTTGTTGCATGATATAAAAAGTATTCAAAACTACCTAACATTTTCTCTTGAAAATTTCGATAAAATGATGAAATATGCAACTAGGAACCACATATATGAAAAAGTAGTAAAATTAATTGGCATAGAAATTATTAATAATAGATCTAAAGAATGTAGACAGGAATACAAAGGAGATGAGTCAGTTACTGCCCTTCTTCAGAGGATAGTAAAAGAAACTTTGGAGTCTTCTGTTGTATTTAAACTTCAAAGACAGAGATGACAACCAAATATTCTTCTATGGCCACAGCCAGGACCTCTGAGCAAATAAACATGCTAAATTTTAGGACCCACACCTGTAGTTTACTGTGACCTTTAAGGTCTTTCAAAGTAATCGAAGCTGTAGGAAAGCCAAATCACTGATAAAAAAAACAGAGAAGCCAAAGACTATGGCAGAGATTGTTAATTCGCTGTTATTGAAGCTGGTCCTGAAATCAAGACTATAAAGTAACAGCACTTAATAAAGTATTTGATGAGGTGGTGCAGTCTTCACTTTATCCTGTGAGAAGATTTATTGAAAATAATGTTTAAAAGAGAAGTCTCAGCAGGTTTCATAAAATGTCCAGGTAAGAATTGCTGAAGACCCAAGAAAATGGTAGATCATCTAGGAGGTCGGGAGATTAGAACCGTCGGTGGGTGACAAGCTTAAAAGGGGCTACTTGTGTTCTCCCAGACTAGTTGGTCTCGCAATTCCTTATTGGCCATGGAGATTTGTGCACTAAGCTGCACAGACTTGACCTGTGCCCCTGATAAGGAATACTAGAGATGGCCGAACACATCATTGTGAACTGTGTCACCTTTGATACACTGAGGAACAGACTACTGAATTGTATCAAATTGGTCTCTAGGTCCTCACAGAGAACAAGTTCCCCTAGTTAGTGATGCTGGAGAACTACTCATATTACTAAGATTTTGTGTATGGGTGGAAAACTGCTCTATATCTGGTACATTTCAATCTGCGAAACAGAGAACCGGCTTCTGGCAGGCCATCTGAATAAATTTAAGAATAAAATAAACTTCTAAATTTTAAACTTATTGCTTTCCTTAAAGTCTATCAAACATTCTCTTCTCTAACAATGAAAGTATGTTGACATGGTATTACCTAGCTTTATTAAACCAGAAGCAAATGCTATTTTAAAGGCAAATTCTCGGCATCCATCTAATTCGATCTTACTGAAAATTGAAGGACTTGACTATGTTCTTACCTCATTTTGCATGCAGCCCTGGTGTTTCACCTTTTGGATTATCATTGTTCCAACAAGCATTTTTTTTTTTTTTTTTTTCAGGGCATATGGTGCAGCAGTTAATGGCCAGTCATTTCATTTTTAATAAAAACAAAAATCAATATGTATATTTTTTAATATTGTTGGTTAGGACTTCAATTTTATTTCTAACAATAAATAAAAACATTTGTTATTTTAGTCCTTTTTTATTTTCTTTACCCTAACCTTCAGGCCATTTTGAAGGTAAGAAACCTTTTAAAAAACAAACATCACTGCCTTATTACAGTTCCATATTAATTATTTTTATAATCTATTATCTATTTACAAACCTTACGTTATAAAATAAAAATATAACCGTGGGCTAATTTGCTTTTGTCTAATTCTTTTATATATTAATGAACTTCTCCTCGTAAGCTTATGTTTGTTTAACACATTTCCCATTGTCAATATAATCATTTAAAAACTATTTTTTTAGATTAAGTTACTTCTATTTTGTACTATAAAAACTTACAATATAAATATAAACATTTTATCCAGTTATATTACTCAGTCCATTGTATTTTTAATTCTTTTAACCTGTTAACTAAGTATGACAAAATATCATTCTTTTATAATATGTTATAAAATATTTTGCCAAAATAAAATCAGTATGTTAAAAATTATTTCCTTTTATTACTTGAGATGTGATGATATTACATATAATTATGAAGAAATAAGTTCCCATTATGAAACAATTTGAACAAAATTTTATTCCCTCGTTAACAGATTAAATCATACATTTTATTTCTATTTCCTAATTTTACTTTAAGAAATTAATAAAACATTGTTTATATATTTAAAAGCTATATAAACTAATCATCTTTGCTTAACATGATATTCATATTTTTTTTTATTTAATTTTATTACGTTTTATCACGATTCCGGACACTAGTAATAGTGATAACAGTTTATTTACACCATATTTACAATAAATTAAATGAAATAACAGAAAAATAATTATACTAAACATTAATATATACATGTATAAACAAAAAAGAAACTTGAACTAATCACAATAACAAATTTAATATAGGCATACCTATAGGAAATATTTACAAACATTTATTCAGTGAAACTCCTAGCCCAGTCTTTTCCCACATGTCGAGGGGAAAACAAGACTCGAGCAGATTCCAGCGATTCTCTCTCAGCCGTGTCACTGATATATTAATCACCAGTAGAGGCTGAGAAAGGGTGCTATAACCACAAATGTAGCCTTTGTACCAAAATTCTTTGATCTCAACTTGTTCATATTCATAAACTAATTTTGTTTAATATCTCAGGGTAATGTTTACTTAATTGCTTTGAATCAGCCTTGAAATTTATAATTTCACTTATGTACATTGCTTCTAAATTTTTTCTTTTTTAAATTTGTATGTTTTCAAAATCAAAATTATGTTCATTATTAAAAGCATGTTGTATTAATAATATTTTTTAAAGATATTTTTTCATGTTTTTTTTTTTTAATTTAATATCATTTTTATGCTGGTACATTCTTTCATTTATATACTGTTTTGTCATTTTTCTATATATATTATTGAGTAATTTATACATGATGTTTTGTATATTTATCCTGATTGATAACTGTTTTCTATTTTATCTAAGATTATTATAGTAACTTTTAATTTTATTCTTTGATCTAAAACTTAACGAATATTCAGTCATATCGTAAATATTATTGCTACTATGGCGTTGTCTCTAAACTATTATTTTATTCTCAGTTTCTATTTCTGAGAATTTTTATCCAAAAAGTTTAATTAGTTGTGTTTTGTAGGTCCTTCTATATAAGTTAATGGCTAATCATGTGTGTTATCCAAAGATAATCTCAATTTAAATAGCTTTTAATATTGTAGTCAGTTAAACATTTGAACTCCATCTCACAGGTTTCACTGATATCTAGAGTTTAATTCATTAACTTGCTCAAATTATTTTATTTTATTTTTACTTGTTTCCCATTTGAACCATTATATACCTAGACCTAACCTGTAACTGTAACCATAAATAAGCAATATGATAGAATTATCTATTTCAAGTTTATTTAGATTTAATTCCATACAAATTCTTGGACTTGGCTGAATCTTGTAGGAATTCTTGCAAAGTAATGGATCTTTGAGATTGAAGCTGAAAAGAAAAGGAAGAAAAATAATCCAAGCAAAAAACAAATATAGAAAATAAGTAATTTAGAATACCAGATTAACCAAATAGGATGACATTTTAAACCCATTTTTTAATCAAATTAAATCTATTAATCTCAGAATTAAAAATGAATTACAAAAAAATTATCATCTTAAATATGTTACAAATAATGAAATCTTCAAAAATAAAATACTGTTAATAATAAAAACAAAACCATAACCCCTTTTTAAGCCTGAATAACACCTGCTTGATCAGGCATTGCTTAATCTTGCAGTCCAATGTAATTTCGCTCTCCTAGTATAAAGCTTGTCCATTTCACTAAAAGCACATCTTATGTCCTGTATTGCAGGGCATATATCAAGATGTTCCCCTGTTATAGTATCCAAGGAGCACAGAGGACAAGTCTGACTATCTTTATATAGATGCGAGAGAGGTGCTTCTGTAGGAAACCATACCCTGTAAGCATTCTAAAGCATGCGAGAGATTGCCCTTTTGGAAGGTCTCTCGAAATCCTGCCACTTTCTTCCTGCGATCCACTCCATCACTTCCCTTTAATTTTTTACTTTCACTTACCTATACTTACTTACTTACTATGTAGCTCTACAGCCCGGGGTGGGCCTTGGCTTCCCTGACAACATTGCACCAATCCTCTCTGCACAACGTTCTCCTCCTCCAGTTCCTTATACCAAGATTTTAGGTCCCTTTCCACATCCTGAATCCAATGTCTCCAAGGTCGTCCTCTCCTTCTGATACCACACATCTTTCCAAGAAGAATTCTTTTTTGCATTCTCGATTCATTCATCCATGCTACATGACCAAACCATTTAAATCTCCTTGCTCATATGAAGGGAACAATGTCACAAGATCCATATAGCTCATATTGTTTGCTGTTCTTCCGGATTCTCTATTCACCTTCTTTCAATAAAGGTCCATAAATTTTACAGAGAATTTTCCTCTCCAAAATCTCTAACGCATTTATTGTGGGGGTGCAAAGGGTCCAAGTTTCCACAGAATATGTCACTACTGGTCTTACCAAAGTTTTATACAATCTTATTTTTGTCATTAGTGACAACAGCAATGAGTGGAATAGTTTTATGTTTGCGTAGTAAACCCGGTTACCTGCCATAATCCACACACACACACTATTTTGTAGGACTTGGTTATTTCGACTCAGGAGACCTCAAAACATGTATTTCCGTTGAAAAAACAGACCCAAAAATTTCATGATCACAATACTTACCCTTACAATACATTGCATATATAGGTAAGTGAGCATAGATTAACTGTACTCCAATGCTCCACCAGACAAAGCTATACTGCCTATAATGAAAGCATAAGAAAAGCCAATATGGAAAGAAAAAAAGGGAATTCTTAGCAAAGAAGATTGAACAAATAGAAGAACTAAGGGTAAATAATGAAACGAGGAAATTATATGGGGCCGTCAGATATATGAATCGTGGATTTCAATCTAAGGTCGATGCATGTAAAGATAAAAATGGAAAAATATTAGAAAAAAAAACATGGTAATTGACAGATGGGAGGAAAATTTCAATGATTTGCTGAATGTAAGAAGCACTCATGACCCTGATGAGACACCGGAGCTAGAAAACGTCTGATTTAGAATCGCTCTCAATCGAGGAAGTGGTAGAATAAATTAAAAAATGACAAAGCTCTTTATTTGAATGGTTTGTACTTTAAGACCAGAGACTGGATTTTTATGCTATTACATTACTTTAAGTTCCTGTCCCAAAATCGTTTTAAGGTAATCCATGTAGATGTAATTAAACTCCTTTTTCTTTTTATTATTTTTGTGGATAAATGTTTATATTGTAAGATAAATTATTATGAAAACTTCTTTTTTTTAATTACAACTGCCCAAAGAGTGTGAGAGAATACAATGTCTTGATAACTTATTGGGAAAAGTTCTTTTTTTTTTCAATAAGTGGCTACTTTCGTGGCAAAAAAAAACATGATTAAATTTGAGCTGCAATAAAATTCAAGTGATAAAGAATGTATATGACATTGAAATTGCAGTTATTAAATAATAAAAAAAAAGTTCATATTTGGGTAAAAATCATAAAAATAATGTGTGATTAGTAGTGGGTATGTGGCTTATGTCCATTATAGTGTGAAACATGTCGTGGCCAAACATAATACTTTCAAAGTGTCGCTCAACTCTAATTTATTAAATTTATTATGATATATTTCTAACAAAATATTTTTATTTAGAAACAGAGATAAAAAACAGAAAGATATTTCTTGGGTAGAAGTTTTGCAGTTGAAAACACTATTCTAAGCTAAATAGTACCAGATGTCCAATGTTAAGAGCTATTGGTCATCCCTCCTCTAACATAACTCAGTCTCCACCATTTTTCTTTAATGATAATTGTCTTTGCAAATATGCATTATGAAAATTCAGAACTTTTTTATTTATTTTTACAACCCACAATCTTCATTTATGAATAAAAATTGAAGAGTCGCGCTAGTAACAAATTTCCTATTCACTCCGTTTTGATATAGGCTGGGGTATACCTCGGGTAAAAGGTGCGTTGATGCTATTTTATTGCCCATTTTCTAGTTTTTTGCTGAGTATTTCAATATTTGTTACTAAAATAAAATTCAGATTTCTTATACCAAATCCATTACTACTAATAAAGTGAAATCCGCATATGTTGCCATGTCAGTTGCAACTGTCCAATGTTTTGGAATCTTTCATGAAATCTCTTTCATATTCTCGTGTTTTTCGGTTTTTTTATATAGACGAATGTAATTTTGTCAGGTTAACATAAGCAGAAAACCAAGGTTAGTTTTCTATAAATTAAATTATGAAGTTATATTGAAAATTTTGCATTATTAAATATGAGTAGAAATAAATATGTATTTTCCTTAAAAGAATCTGTTGCAGGTAAAAATTACTGATGCTGTGGGTTACTTTACATTTCACTGGTTCGGGATTTGAAGATTATCTATGGTCCAGGAAGAAGAGAAGATGAATACCAACATAAAATTAAAGAATTTTTAACAATAAATAATAATGAGACATTTTCTATAATAATAATAGCCTAAGAGGAGTTTGTGAACAAAGATTTTCTTGAAGTCAGCCAAAGATGGTTTTGTCTGAGACTTCATCATATTCTGCCCAATTAATAAAATGAAATGGAAAAAATAAAATGAAAATTTGATCTTTATCCTGGAACACTTAGTCCCAAAAGAATAAAGATCAATTTTCCATTGCTTTCAAACGCCTCTTTTATACTGGAATAAAAAACAGTTAATGTTAACTTTCTGAATATTATAATTTGTTTGTAGGGATTGTAGAAGAAAGTGTTACAGGAGTACATCGATTATATCAACTTTCAAAATCAGGCAAACTTAATGTACCAGCAATGAATGTGAATGACTCTGTTACAAAAATGAAGTTTGATAATTTATATAGCTGCCGTGAATCCATTTTAGATAGGTATTTTATATAATCATGTTTCGTTTTATTATAATTCAATACTACTATCATTCAAATCTAAGTTAGTTTTTTATCTGATTTAAAAATTTATCTTGAATTCAATTTTTATTTTCTTTGTATTCTCCCTTATAGGAATTAAATTAGTTTATCTTTTTTTTATAAAATCTGGAAAGACATTTTTTTTATGTTTATTCAAACAACTTCCTAATTTGTTGGATTTCTAGCCAATAACCTCATCTAACTATTATTAATTTAGAGAATTTAGGGAACAACTTGAAGAAAGTTTCATGTTATGGCTGTTGTAACAAACTTAAAACTGAAATTGCTAAATCCTGCGCTGTAATTAGTATTAGAATATCTACAAGCAAAATCATTTAAGTATAAGTACTTATAGAACAAACAGAATGTTGTTAAATGCTCTGAAAGACTTGAATTCATACACACTGTAATGTAGTGCCTGTCTGAATAGGTTTCTTTCTGTTTCTAAAAAATTTAATGAAATGCAATAAACAGGGTAATAATATCAGTCAAAAGCAAAACTTATTAAAAAAACAAAAAACAAAAAAAACAGTACAACCACTGGAATTTAAGAAAACACTCTCAAATCACCTTATAATTTCTCAATTAAAACTATTTAGAAAGAGTTAGTCACAAAGTTGATCAAGTATTGGTGAATAGTAAAATGCGATGATGAAATAAATTATAATATATTTAAGATGTGTAGACCAGTTTCATTCAAAGAATTATGATTAATATAATTCAAGGACTAGAAAGGTATTACTTTGTTGTTATTTTTTAAATATCTTTCGCAGGCTCAGCAAAATATCAAACTTCCACTACTAAATCTCAATGAAAATCTTTATTAGATGAAATCTTAATAATTATGTTATTAACTTATTAAACAAAATTGTTTAAGCAACTTTCTAATTTAAATTAAATTTAATTTAATTTTTTAATATTTAAATTAAATTTAAAAAAAAAGGCAAATAACTCTTGAGTTCAACTTGACAACATTCGACATTATTTTGCAGTGGAATGTACTTTTATTGAATATGGGAGGTTATATGGTTTATGAAAAATAACTAACCTTTTTATGTTGGCATATAAAATTTGTCTTGGCCTTTAAAGGATGAAGGGTTTCTTCCATTCTAGTCTTTCTTCTAAGTTTTTCTCTACACAAGTGGTTGGCCAAAAATGGGCTGTCGGCTTTTAGATTCTTATCAAGATCTGTTTTTACAACTCACTGCAAGGCGGCATTTGGACGCAATGTTACGTTCACAAAACAAAAAGATTTTAAAATTATTCTTGTCTGAGACAGTTAACATAATGGGTTTCAATTTTTTGGCTAATTCATACATTTTTGAAGAAATTCAGCTGTGTTTAAATAAAATATAAAAACTATATTTTTGAAAACATTTCTGTTAACAGTTTAAAACGTTCTACTGATGTTATGTTTGGTGGAAAGCAAGTTGTTTTATGTGGATATGGTGAAGTTGGAAAAGGTTGTTGTCAAGCATTGAAAGGGCTAGGATGCATTGTATACATCACAGAAATAGATCCAATATGTGCCCTTCAAGCTTGGTAAGTAAATATTAAAAAGTATAAATATTATTATGTTGTACTATCCACAAATAATTGCAGTATTGTCTCTACTGCATTTTTGATAAATTATTTCAACTGTTATTTTTTTTTTTTTCGTATATACCTATTGGTATCTAAAAAAAATATTCTAATGAAATTACACTGCCTAAATAACATTTGTATTAGTACATGCAAACGTTAAATAATCACTAGTGTTAGGGCCAGACTTATTTCAGAATGAAAATAAAAACCTTTCCCCGGTGAGTTTCCTCAAAGGTGGGGAAAATTCGAGTAAAATTAAATGGGGGGAAAGAAGGGAAATGAGACCTGTAAAACATGAAAAATGCATGCACATCAAAATATTATAAAATGGAAATATTCAATAAATCAAAAAAATGGAAAATAAAGAATCTCCCTTTTTGTTTACAATTTATTATAGTGGAAAAAAGATATATACAAAATTCAAAACAAACAAATGAAAAAAGATTATTAAAATGCACTGAAGTAAAATCAAACATAAAATATTCAGATAAAATAAAAACAAATTAAACATTGGGTATAAAATATAAATAAAATCAACTTCTAAAATTATACATCAGTAATAAGAAAAAACATTAACTAAAGTTCAATTTAACGTCTAAAAAAGCTTTTCAAAAACTAATTTAGCCTGGGAAAAAAATGTAATTTAATGTCTTTTGGGACGGTTGAGAATAAAAAAAAAAAAACGAGCCAAGTTGGAGGTTCTACTTCCAATGAGGTTACCTTGTACAGCTAATGTCAAAGGCAGTCGATGGTGGGGGAATCAATATGCCTATCGATCTCGATCGATGACACAGCTGGGATCTTCAAAATGGTGCTAGGCTGGCGCAGGTGAGGTTAGACAAACCTGGAGCCTGTGAAATGGTGGGGGTAAATGTCCAATACGTGGACACAACACAAACGTCAGCTCGCTCCAGACTTCCGAAGAAACAAAAGGGCACTATACTAGGTCGGTGGGGTTGAGTTAACTGGAGTGGCTGGCGGGAAGGTGAGAGAAGTTGTCCACTAGTGGACCCAATAACAACGAAAGCTCGCTCCAGACTGACCCTAGACTGCATCCCGGCAGTTTTATCGCAGTATTTTTGGTTGTATTAATACCTAAACTCAGTATTACTGCCGGGCTGGAGCGTATACATATGCGATAATACATCGCGAATAAACCTAAATATATAAACAATATACATTTCTGGGACACTATCTCAGTTTTTTACCAAAAAAAATAAACATTTCATTATTAACATTTAAAAAGGGGTGAATGGTGAAAAAAAAAATAAAGATATAAGTGTATGCGGCGTTAACAACTAGTCTTATTATAACACATGTGAATCTTAAAAAGGTGTGGATTACCTTAAATAAAAATATATTTTATAAATTTACAGATAGTCATTATATCACACCTCCTCCCCCCTCCCAAATAACTTAGTTACATCACCAAATAAAAAAATAGGACAAACAGTTGTACAGCAATGCCACCACTGAAGAAAACTTGCTGGAAAACATATGACTCTTCCTGTAAGACACCCATTATCAGCACTAATGAAATAATATGTTGAGTAATACAATTATGAACTCTCCAAATCATGTAGTGTCTTTATGTGTGTATGTATATATATATGTGTATGTGTGTATTTTTTTTTTTTTTTGTGTGTGTTTTCTGCAACAATGTCACTTTCCTATCCTTAGTTCTTCTTTTTCTTAATAATCCCTGTTAGCACTATTCTCATCTGTCAGACCTCTAGCCCTCATTTCCTCCCTTTCATGCCCTATCCACAGTTTCTGGCGTCTCATTTGGAAAGCCTTTGTCTCTTCTCTGAGCTGTACTTCAGCATTTTAAGAGGCCAATGGGTATCATTCATTCTCATGACATGCCAGTACCACATCAATCTTCTTTAGCTGATGGCATTCAGAACGTTAAAATCAGCCCCTACTCTATTTCTTATTTCTTCATTTTGAATTCTATGCAACCGCTTCTCCAAAAATCTATCTCTAGGACCAACAGTCTCATTGCATATGCTTTTGTCACCATGGCTCTGACCCATATAAAGTTATTATATAAATAAATAATTTATTTCCTTATAAATTATTTATAGGACTTTGTAAAACTTGATACTATCCTTAGCATACGTGTCACTGGCCTGACCCCATTAAATAACTATGATAAGAATCTCCTTATCTTCAAGAGAAAAGATTTATTCAGAATTTTCAATCCTGTAATGTATGGGGGATCCTGAAGAATCAGAAAGAATAGGGAGCTATATGAACTTTTTAATGAAGCTGACATTTTCAGAGTCATTCAACTTGAAAGACTAAGCTGGATAGGTCTAGGAGAATGGTAGGTACAGACGAGCTGATGAATGATGCCAGAAGCTAACACTAGTTATTAAAATCAGGAAGAAATTAGTTATCATAATCTATTTTTAGTAAATAGTATTATAAAGTCTTTTTCATATTTTTATTTTCAATAAATGTTTACTATATATATATTAAACTTTTAAAATGTTCTGGCTCCATGTTAACTATTAAGTATAGTTCAACCCCTATTTGTTGTTTGACAAAGGGTGAACTCATGCAGCACTAAGTTAAAACACATTTTGTTTTTCCCCTAAACCTACAATATTACCTACAAAAGATTATAAAATATAAACTTATATTGAAAGGTAATCTTCTAATTTATGTATGTCAGTAAATATTTTATAAATAATGTCGGAGGGTTAGAGAAAAAAATTAAATTCTAGGTTTGACTTAATGTCGCATGAGTTTACCCTTGGGCTGCCAACTAATCGCAATCGAATGAACGAAATAGTTTGTAAAATAGTTCTCTTAACACGGTATCTAGGCCATAGATTACATGATGACAGAGTGGCTTTTAGGGGTATGAATGTGAACTAACTACCTTCCCTCTTATAATCTTCAGAGAGCTATATGTTAAATGAAATTTGTGTTGTTTTCTTCATCAATTTCTAATTTTTATTATTTGTTTTTTTTTCTAGTGATTTTATTGTTGTTGTTTTTTTATTTTATAAGTGTGAAGGTTGAATGTCTTTATGCAGAACATATCAATATTTATGAGTTATTACTTTCACTTACCTATATATGCAATATAAGGGTAAGTATTGAGATTGTGAAAATTTTTGAATATGAGTTTTTAACGGAAATACATGTTTTGAGGTCTTCTGAGTCTAAATAACCAAGCCCCGCAAAATGGTCTGTGTGTGTTCGTGTGTATGTGATCAGTCTAGCTCAAAAAATGAAATGTATGGAAGTGAAATTTCATATGTAAGGTTTGTATATACCTTGGATGTTAAAGCAAATTTTTCATCAAAATCGACTTAAATAAAATGATGAAATAAAACATCATAACAGATTATGGTTGAAATAGAGGAACCAAAGGAACACGAGCGTACCTGAGCTCGTCCGAAAGATTATAACAGGCTTCCATACGTAACATGAGCTTAATATCATACCGACTCCAACAATATTATGTACATATACATATGCGGTTTTCATAAATGCTATCGTTGGTATTACTTAATATTTAATTGTATAGATTACTACAATATAAAGATTAAAATTTGTATATATAGCATTTCCAAGTCAATTTCAACCTTTTCCAAATCAAATTCAACCTTTTCCAAGTCAAATTAAACCTTTTCCATTTCAAATTCAACCTTTTCCAAGTCAAATTAAACCTTTTCCATTTCAAATTCAACTTTTGAATTTTTGTCAACTTTCATAATGAAGGCCACTTACTATGTTATCGAAAAAAACAAAAATAATTATGATAACGCGGTTGCATATCCATTTATTTTAACATTTTAGATATTTTCAGTGTAATATTTTTATGTCATATTCAACTTTTTCCAAGTCAAATTCAACCTCTTCCTAGTCAAATTCAACATTTTTCAAATCAAATTAAACTTTTTCCATTTCAAATTCAACCGTTTTCATTTCAAATTAATGTTTTAATTTTTTGTAAATTTTATATATATTTTTTTTAAAATAATGGCCATCTCCCCCCTCCTCCAATATAAAGTTTTATTACTATGCTCTCCTAAATAGAATTTATACTTACAGATATCGATTTATTGTACCTATTCGGATTTATTATGGACTAGTATTATTCTGTCCTGAACCTAGTTTTTAAAATAACCTCCATTTTAATACTAGGTCACTGCGTTTCGACTTATTTAAGTTTTTTTTATTTATTCGATATAAGGGTGTATTCTTATGTTTCCCGAGCTGTAAATTTTGAAAATGACCTCCATTTTATTATTACACTACTGCGTTTTGACTGATTTAAGTGTTTCGAATTTATCCAATATAAAGGTTTACTTTTATGTTTCCGGAGCCGTAGATTTTGAGATTAGGCCACTGTGTTCCGATTTCTTTAAGTGTTTCGAATTTTTTTCATAAAAGATTGCATTCTTATATTTCTGGAGTCGTAGATTTTGAAAATGAACCCCATTTTAAGATTATGCCACTGCGTTTTGACTTATTTAAGTTTTTCGAATTTATCCAATATAAAGGTCTATTTTTATGTTTCCAGAGCTATAGATTTTGAAAATGACCTCCATTTTAAGATTAGGCCACCGCGTTTCGATTTCTTTAAGTTTGTCGAATTTCGAATCGAATTAAAAAAAGAGAAATTCTTCAGGAATGTTATACATTTTTTGGAATTTAAAGATAAAGCTCTTTAAAGACCCATAAATTTCATTTAAAATGGTATACAATACATAACCATGAGTATTATCTATGGTTTTAAAAAATTAACAAAACAATTTTTTTTTTTGGAGCTTTTATTAGTTGTGGAAATATATATTATATAGCATTGGCTTTAAGAAGAAGTTACTGCACCATTCGGATGATTTTTTTATTTGATTTGAAATAAATATACCTACACCAAAGTCAATATTTTTTTTTATATTTTGGATATCAACTTTTAATCATGTGTATTTTCCAAATTTTTAACACCTGAAATTTGAAACATAAGTTCTAAAAAAGAACATTTCTGTAAAATTAAAAAATTAATAAAAAACATTTCTGCCTCATGACGTAAATTTACTATATTAGAAAAACTAATTGATGATGTAACCAATTACAGATATAAAAAGAAAAATACCTGAGGAAGTTGTAATTCTATTGGGTGGTGGCTCTATAAGTTCGTTCAGTTTTTGTTTGTAGTGCAAATTATTTTCAAATATCTTCAGTTCTCTTTGCCTTATCTGACAATAATGATACTTATCGAAAAGGTCAAAGTTCGTTCTTCGAAACTGTTGTGTTTGGTTTCATTGGTATTAATTTTGTTTGTGCTACAGGGTAGTGAATATATCAAATGATAAAGGGTATTTTCAGCATATTTTGCTTTTTTATTTCAAAAAAGTCAAGTGAGCTCATAAGTCAAAGGTCTATCAAAAGATATGTAAGATATACAGGGACAATGCCTTTATATAACGTACTGCTCAAAAATGATTTGCCAAGTTTCGTTCTGGAGATAAGAGTCTCGATGACGCATCCTGCAGCGGTCGGCCCACCGAGGTCAATTCGAGTGATATCAAGGCTCTAATCAAACAAGACCGGTTGCTACAGGTACAAGACATTGTGGAGACACTGAAAACAGGTTTTAGAATCATTAAAAGGCATTTAAAACATTTTAGCTATGTGTCCTGCCTCGACATGTTGGTGTCATACAGACTGACTGAGGCAAACCTGGCCAACTGAGTACCAATCTGCAACTCTCTTCTGAACCAAACAATGCGACAGGAACTCCCAGAACTAGTCAATAGCAAAGGTGTTATATTCCACCATGACAACGCCAGACTACACTCCGTAATAATAACACAGCAAAATTAGTGCAACTTCACTTGGATTTTTTGCCATACCCATTGTATTCTCCCAACCTTCTGCCATCCGACTACCACTTATTCCGGTCCCTTCAAAATTCTCTCAACTGGAAATCGTTTTCTGATATTAGAGAGGAAAACATATCTCCATCAGTTTTTCGCTTCTTATCCCTATTGTTCTTATGAAATTGTTAGAAAGATGGCAATAGGTCATTGATAAAAACAGTGAATATATTATTGAATAAAATGTATTCTTTGTATGAAAAAAACTTGTGTTGTTTCACCCTTCAAAAACCGAACAAACTTATGGATCCACCCAATAATTATAAAAAGATTGGTGCGTGCATCACACAACTTTCACTTACCGCTTTACTTTGAACAGAAATTATTGTCTGGCATAATTGAGCTATTACAAAATGTTTTATAAATGAAGTACAATTGTATGGAACTAAACCTTAAAGAATACATTTGAGAATTTCAGTCAATGCAAAGACTCATTAAGACCATCAAAACAACACAAACAATATTCATTATAACAACAGTAGGCAATAAAAACCTCATAATTTCATCAGTTATTTTAACCACATAACTACAGTCTCTGAGGTCTATAGAACTATTTTTTATATATAAAAAGAGAGATTTCGAAGTATGTATATTTAATCTATGAATAAGTGAGGAATAGTAAAAATTGAAGGAATTAACTCACTATTTTACATGTATTTAAACTCTTATTTTTTTACATTATAAAATTCACCAAAATACAGTTACCAACTTTTCAATATAGCATCAATAGATCAAAAGTCATCACACTAATTGTAAAAGGATAATGTTATGAATTTAGAGTGAGAAAATTAATCAAATTATCCATAAATTTAATTTTCTATGTTGTTGCTTAATGAATTTTTGGAATAATTCGACGACATGTGTCTAATTTTTTTAATATGTTATCGGATCTAAAGTTATTAAACTTCAGTAAATGTATTTAAGGTTATTTATCAACATATGCTTTGCTTATCCATGAAATATTTTTATATTTCTACACTAGTGTTGTCGGTGAACAACAGCTTCTTTTACCAGTTCTCTTAATCGTTTAATTATGATTCCATCGTAAAGAGTTTAAAAAGGAAATTTTTCATTAGTTCTGCTATCATTTTCAACTTTACAGAATCTGTCCGAAATAAGTTATCATATGCAGTATTTTCAAGTTTGGTGTTATCCTTTTATATCAATATTTAGCTCTTTCTAATTTGAGTCGACCCATTCTACTTTAAAGTAATTAATAAATTTTATTACTTTTGTTTTGTTTTTTGTTATATGACCCCTATTCTTTCTACAAAAATGAATGATAAATCATTGTGTAATTTCTCAAACAAAATCTGGAAGTAAATTATCAATTAGCATCATCAATGATAACATTAAAACAAAGTAAATTTTATTTGCTATAGAAATTTGTCCATTTGAGAAAAAAAATTGTTTAACTTGTAAATGCTATACATACAGGGTGTCTACAAACAGTGAAAGTCATGAAATTCAATTTGGTTGGAATAATCTGGGATTTTCTAAAGCTAAGGGAATTTTCTAAAAATGAATGTCTAGCAAAATGAAAAATAAAATAATAAAATTTAAAAACGTAGGTATGTAAGTAATTTTTTACTTCCTCTCTACTTAAGGTAGGGGAGCTTTTTATTCATGCAGATAATCACCAAAAAAAAATCCTCAAAATCAAAAATTTTCACTCCTGATTAACATTTTGTACATCAAGGAACAATTTTAGTTCTATATCGGTATATAGTCAAGTTTATTTGACAGACATTATTACATCTATTCTCATAAATCCAAGTTTTATTTGTACAGGAATAGTTTGGAATAGCAATTTTATCATATACCATTCACTTCTTTTTGATTAGGCTGCAAGCTAGTCATCAATTTTATTGAATTCCATCCACTATTGTTGGTTATGTATGTGAAAAAGTATTTTTGGAATACGAGATAAAAAGAAAGTTAGGGATTGGTAAAAAAAACAAATATCAAGTAGATATAAATTGTATCAAATGATACCCATTACTTTTGTTTGATTAATCCACTGACTAATTTTTCTTTAATACACTTATTTAAAAAAAAATTTTAATTTGTCTCAAAAACATTCTCCAATGGTGATTGATCCTTTATCTCCACACTACGGCTATCCTTGAAAACATGTCCTTTCTGTTTTGTTTTTTTCAAGGATTTGTTTTTATCTCAGTAATGACATTCAAGTGATAAGAAAAAGTTTGGAAAGGACATGAACATGTTAACAGCAATTAAAAAAATACATTATTCAGAATGGTAAAGTTATTCTGTATAGGTTGAAATAAGTTTCACTACCATTTAGTGTAGATTATGAATGGAAACACGAAAATGTTACAAGAAAACTGAGTTTGGGAAAATGCTCAGCATTGACATTCAGTAGGTTAAGCAATTAAAAAATCAAATTGTTCTCAATTTTGATATTTCAATATGAAGAAATGTTACTTCACCATATAGCAGTGGGGAAAAAATCAGATTTCATTTATTAGATTTAACTAATTGACTTCAAATTGTAGTGGACTGAAAATCGCCTGTAAAATGAGAATTACCCATGTTAATTATAGAAACTGTTGTATATCAACATATTGTAGAAATAAATTAAAATATTTTTTATTGTTATATATATTTAACCTATCAGATGATAAATGTTTCCTTGTTCATTTGAAATTCCAGATTATGAATATACAGGGTGTCCCTGAAGGAAATCTTAGTAAATGAGTGGGAGATAGTTTACTGAAATTGTAGTACAGCTCTGCCAGCCGCACATTCCTATCTCAATCCATTGTCTAGCAAAATATTTATAAGATTTTATAAAAAAGCACATCTTTTCCCTTAAAAATCCTAATTTTTCTAATGCAACTATGTATTTTTTAACTTTTGTCCTCATTTTTGGAATCTACCATGAATTTCCTATTACGTTATAACCAATTTGTTGAAAAGAATTGCTACATGAGGGCATTATAGAAACGAAAGGAAAGTAAATATGTAGAAATGAATAATTTTCAGAGATACTCTGTTAGCATCTCATGCAATGAATTTTCGAGCTATGACCTTGGTTTTTTTAAAAAAAGTTGTTTTATTTCATCAGCATTATAATGGTATACCTAACTTCGTGAAGTTGGTCTACTTTTGAGGAGATATTGATGTTGGGTGGTCAAAAAAGTTAGATGCCTTCAACAATAGGAGTACTTATTTAGTATTCCCCCCCCCTTGTTTTGCTATGTTCTACATAAAAGTTTATAGTGAATTACTATTGCAAACATTTGGAATGGCTTTTATTTTTTTCTGACAATAACACATTACCTATGGAAGAGAGAAAAGGTAGTTATATTAACAAAATTATGCATATCACTAACTTTATGGTTTCAAAAATAATGGGCAGAAAGATAACATAAATAAATGGTCACTATTAGGTGTATATATATTTCTAAAACAGAAAAAAAAAACTTCATAACAGAATGAATTTTTCCGTAAAAATTACAGCTAACAAAAGAGCTGTTCAAATCTCTGATCTTGTTGGAAGCATAAAAGTGAATGTTCTGCTCTATCATCTTTTGTCAATTTATGGTTGAGGGCTATTGGTGATTAGATTCTGGAACACATATAACATAAAAAATATTAGGTACTTGATACTAGGTATGGAACGTTTTTTTTGACTTTTCAATCTTAATATCTCTTTAAAATTGGGCTGCCTTTGAAAAGTTGGATTTACTGATAGAAAGCTGATGAAATTAATCTACTTTTTAAAAAATATCCATGGTCCTAACTTTAAAATTCAATGATATTCTACCTATTATTTCTGAAAATTATTCATTTTTACTTGTTTACTTTGCTTTTGCTGCTATGATAGCCTGATGAAGCGACATTTTCCTACAAATCCATTTCCCCATGGAACACCCTGTTTTTTAAATATGTTCGTTATTACAACAAATTATCAGTATTATTAAATAAATTACTTTTAAAATTATTTGTTTAGTATGGATGGTTTTCGAGTGGTAAAGCTTAATGAAGTTATTCGTACAGTTGATATTGTCATAACTGCAACAGGAAACAAGAATGTTGTTACCAGGGAACATATGGATAAAATGAAAAATGGATGTGTTATCTGTAATATGGGACACTCAAATACTGAAATTGATGTTGTAAGTATTTTTTAAAATAAGAGTAATCTTTCAGCACTATTGTGTTTCATTTCATTTTAATTTTTTTGAAGTGATGGTGGCTTATACGAGTTATAGTAATCCTTAGAATTGTTAACGCCAGAGTGAAGGATTTTTTAATAAATTATTATTTAGCATTCTGAATCAGGAAGGTTAAATAACGGTTTTTTTCATTGTTGATATTGTATTATTATAGATCAAATTTAGTTATCAGGTGACATGTTTCCTAAATCATCAGGTTTACCTTCTGAATCTACTAATTAGGTAAACATCCCTCTTTTGCTTTTTTTTTTTTTTTTTTGTTATCTTGAAACTTTTTGACTTCCGAGAAAAGGAATGTTCTTATATATTGTATTAAACTTCCCAAACAACAATGTAATAAATTTTGGAATGGTATATATTCTTTTCTACTAAAGAAAACAAGTATGAAGTTTAATGTAACTATTGGGTTGTCCATAAAATAATGTAGGATTTTGAGTTTTCTTTAAAATACCCCTCTATATAACAAACTGTTTACGTTTACCATATAATTCATTTGTATGAATGTCAACACTTAATAATCCTCTTCCAAACGATAATGTTTGTTAACCTCTGTTGCATTTCACTGCTTAGAAATAATCCAGGCTTTACTATGATTTCAACGCGTGATTTTTGTCTAAGTTTGTTTTACGAGTTTAAACTTGGCCGGAATGGGGCCCAGACAGCCAGAAACATCAATCAAGTCTGAGGCGAGAGCAGTATTAATGAGTGCACTGTTCAACGAAGGTTCAAAAAATTTTGGAAGGGACACTTCAGCCTTGAAGACAAAGAAGGTCGTGGAAGGACTTCCTCTCTTAATGACTATATTCTGCGGGCTTTGGTGGAAGAAAATCCCAGAACAACCGTTTGAAAACTTGCAGGGAACCTTAACCTTAGAAAATCGACTGTGGATGACCACCTCAAGGCAATTTTTGGAAAAAAGCTTGAAAGTTGGGTTCCACACACACATTAAACGACCGGCAAATAAACCAGTTTGTGCTTCACTTCTTTGTTGAAATAAAAACGACTCTTTTCTATCCTATCCAGAATTGTTACTTGTGATGAAAAGTATATACTTTATGATAATAGACGTTCTGGACAGTGGCTTGACAAAAGAGAAGGAGCAGAACATTTTCCAAAGCCCCCAACTCATCAAAAAAAGGTATGGTTACTATTTGGTGGGCTTCATTTGGTTTGACTCTACAGCTTCTTAAATCCTGAAGAAACCGTCAATGCAGAATCGTATTGTAACAAGATTAATGCAATACGTCAGAAATTGGCAATAGTAAAGCCATCTTTGGTCAATTGGAAGGGGCCCATTTTTTTGCATTACAATGCCCGGCCACATGTCTCACATGTGAAGTCACAAAAACTGTTGGAGCTTGGATATTAAACTCTGCCACAGCCACTCCACTCTCCGGACCTCTCTCCTACGGATTATCATTTTTTTAGACACCTTGACCACTACTTACGTGACGAAAAATTTAATTGACAAAGGGAATTACAAAATACGTTTTTGGAGTTTATCAATTCTGAAGATGGGACATTTTATTCCAAGGGAATTGAAAAGTTGCCAACACCTTGGCAGAAATGTATTGATAGTAGTGTTTTGATATTTTGATTAAATAAAACAGTTGTAAATCTTTCTTTTTCTTTTTAAACCAAAATCCTGCATTATTTTCTGGACAAGCCAATATAAGGAAAATTGTTGATTATGGAATAAAATAATAAATCTATACTATTTTAAATTTAGTATTTGTGTATGTTTTCAAGTTTTATGTGATGTGTTGGAGAAATATAAAACTATAATTTTGAGTTTTGTCAATCCAACTTTTTCTAAAATTATTGATTTGCTTTTATGAAAAACAAAATCATATCTTAAATTTTTCTATCTTGTAAATTTAATTTCTTCTCCCATCATATTGCTTCATTATTAGGACCTGAATAAGTTCTCCCTTTTATGTGTGTGTGTGCATGAAAATTAATGGTATATTTAAAGTAATTGGTAAAAACCATGTCACTCAAAGTCATCGCTAGCCACTACTATCTCTCATCTTTCTGGCAGCATAAAAATTCCACGTCAAAAAACAACTCGTCTTTTAAGGCTATTCAAGAATCTATCGATTTTTTGGTATCTTCCTAAGAATGTAAGTGCTACTCAGCCAGGCCATAAACCATTGAGCTAGATAAGTAGTAATTGGAAGGAGCTATATCCAGTGGGGTAGGACTTCCTATTTAACACTTCAATGACCACAGCAGTTATATACGCCTGCTCACTGATTTACTGAAGGGACCACGGCAGGCGTATTCTCCCACCATTCAGATCCACAAACCAGCTTGTTCCAGGAATCGATGCGCACTTAAAATATCAAATTACATGTGAAGAATGACAGCTATGCTTCTTGTGAAAATATTTATCGCTTTGGGTTGGACTTACTTTTTTACTATCATCATAAAAATGCCTAGAATTTAATTTCATATTGTATATTGTCTTTTTTACATGACCTCTTCATATTAGTTTTTAATAGGAAAAAGGGAAAGTACGGCCATACTTTACAGTACAATATGTCTGCTTAAGTGAAAACATTTTTGCTGAATATATACTTAAGTTAGCAGTAATTGTATACTGTGGCTAAGTAAACATATTTTTTTGCAATAATGCAAATGGATTAAATTTCCAAAAATAATCTAAATATGATTATATACACGTAAGAAATAACTACCAAAAGTAAAAATAGTGAAATTAAATTAAATTAGTATTCTGTTGTGACAGAATGTTATATTATTCAATAAATAAATAAATATAGTTATTTTATTTTATTTTTTAAATATATATCCTATAATATCCCTATAGACAATAGTGGGCGTATATCTGCTCCTTTTTTTAAAATTATCGCGATTAAATTACTTTTAAAACTTAACAAAATGTACGATCATTTTTTTAACAGTATATTATAACTTTTGAGAGAAAAAAACAATTTGGTCCATGGAAAAAGGTTCAGTCGAATGGCTTGGTTGTTGAAGTGTTACGCATTATCGGGTAGGTTTTTACCAGTTTGCAACATGTGGCTGAGCGTTGTCATGTAATAAAATCACTTTGTGTCTCTGTTCGTATAGGAGCCTTTTTTTTTTTAAGGCTTGGCTCAAATGTATCCATTGTAGTCTATTGGGATCTCCAGTGATAGTTTTGCTCGGTTTGAGCAGCTCATAATAAATTATACCATGCTGATCCCAGCGAATGCAGAGAAGCTTTGAATCATGGATATTTGGCTTTGTGGGTAATGTTAACGCATGGCCAGGCTTACTTCTCGATTTTTTTTAAGCTTGGGATTATCATACTGTATATATTTCTTATCACTAGTCATGATAGGATGCAAACAAAATTTTCCTTTTCTGCTGGTTAAGCAGCAGTTCACACGTTAGAGAACATTGTTCTGCATCCTAATTTTTTCAAATGATTTGAAACCATTGTGTGATCAACTAGAAATAATGTTCCAAGTTCAACTAGAATCTGACATGTGTCATCATTAAGTATTTTCTTCAACTTTTTTATAGTGCCCAAACTAGTCTCTACATGCTCACCACAAGTCTCAAAAAGAATTCTGTGTGCTTCAGCTACAAATTTCTTTTATATGATAATTGAACTTGAATAAGTTCTGCTGTTTCCTAACAAATAGCAGCAATAGTACTATGTGCTTTACATTTCAGATGGTAATGCAACTTTCCAAGAATTATCGGTAAGCTTGGAATTCAGGGAACGTTAATACACAAAATGTAAAGTTTGGTGCCAAGTAAAGAGTATTTGCAGGAAATTTTATTGCACTTATCAAACAGTGCAATAAAATTTCCTGCAAATACTCTTTACTTGGCACCAAACTTTACATTTTGTGTATTAACGTACACTGAATTCCAAGCTTACCGATAATTCTTGGAAAGTTGCATTACCATCTGAAATGTAAAGCACATAGTACTATTGCTGCTATTTGTTAGGAAACAGCAGAACTTATTCAAAGTCCTGATACTTTTGTTATGGAATGTTCTACAGGTGCCCATTGTGATCCATACCAAATCCTTATAAGATCTATTTTTTCCTATCCATTACAGACGAACATACATTTTTAGGTTTATTCTCCTTAGATTTGGAATACCTTCTTTGTGTTTGTCAACAAGACAGCAAGAGTATTGTTATGAGCTCATTACCATTGGAATTTTATAATTTGTGCAAAACAACATTTTTCCTTTTCACCTGTTATACTTGGCAAGTTTCCAGGTGTTTCCAATCATTCAAGCTGTGCTTAATTTGTTTCCTATCTTTTGGCGATGGGTTACCTAACTTAAAATTGAAAGATATCATGATAGAGCCTGAGTTTTCTTTGACTAGTATAGTGTATCTACTTGGTGCTGGCACTCCCTGTCCTATAATGCTTGTTCCCAGGATATTCCCTCATAGGCTTATCAAGAATTTCATTTTTAACCAACTTATAAGCTTATCAAGCATCTCTTAAATGATATTTTCAATAAGCTCAATTTTAAAGAGCCCACCAACTGGTATGTTAGAGTGGATTTGGAGAACAGGAGCCGAGAATCCTCTCATAGCCAGGCTGTGCATCACATCTCCTGCTTGGAGTTTTTTAAACATACTTTGTTGCCTCCCATGAAAATAATGAATGATTTCAGACTATTATAAAAAAATATTTAATTTTCTGCATATGATTGTTTTCACAACATTTTAATTTTATGTTGTTTTTTTTTTACAGAATAGTTTAAGAACTCCAGATCTTACTTGGGAAAAGGTTCGTTCACAAGTGGATCATGTGATATGGCCTGATGGAAAACGAATAGTTCTTTTAGCTGAAGGACGCCTTGTTAATTTATCTTGTTCCAGTCTCCCTTCATTTGTTGTCTCTATCACAGCTGCCACTCAGGTTTACTTTTATTTATTTTTTTATTTTATTTCACTTGATTTACTTAAATTTATTATTTTCAATCAATGCCAAACCCCACTTGATAATGTACCATCTAAAGCCATCTTTAATCCACCTCCAATCTTCATCACAGGAGTAAAAAACTATGCTGCGTTCGTCTCATATCTACAAACAAATACAGGCCCCAACAAGTTTTTACTAAGATCAACATTTAAGGGAATAACTGTTTACCCTGAAACCCCAAACGACTATCGAAAACTTGTTAGTTGTCTGAGAAACAGTGATTCAGAATTCCACACGTATTAACTCATTGAAGATAGGAATCCTCAAGTTGTAATTAAAGATCTACATCATAACACATCTTTGGAAGAGATCAAAAGAGAACTAGAAAATTATGGATATCAGATTACAGGTATTACTAATGCAATATTCCAATTCAAACGACCATTGCCAATGTTCTTTTTTGATACACATAAATCCTCATTTAATGAAAAAAAAATTGAAATTAAAAAAAATATTTTACACAAAGGTTACTGTAGAAGAACTTCGAAAGAAGAAATTTATCCTGCAATGCCTCAGATGCCAAAAGTATGGCCACACTAGGTCGTACTGCATTCACCACGGTGCGTCAAATGTGGACAAGGCCATGAAAGCTCCACATGTATTAAAGCAAAAGAGACACCCGTGAAATGCGCAAATTGCCAGGGTGAGCATCTGGCGAATTCTCGTGGGTGTCAAACTCTTTGTGATTTGATGGCCATTGCCAATGTTCTTTTTTGATACACATAAATCCTCATTTAATGAAAAAAAAATTATCCTTTTTTAAAAAAAAAAATTATGTCTGGAACATCATGAAGTTCAATCCTGAGGATTTCATCCAAAGATTTGCATATGAGAAGAGTTGCAGCCAAATTTGTTCCTCGCCTTTTCACAGGCGAGCAAAGGGAATTCAGGCATGTTTCGAGCTTCAAAATCAGCTCAAAGAGGTTGTAATTTACATTTTTAAAATTACTATTTTTGAATACGATAGAATAGTTCATTAAAAGAGCAAATAAATTAAGAAAGATAGAAAATATGTATATATTTTTTTTTTGGATATTTAGTTAAAAACGAAAAATACAGATTATTGAATAAAATCGTTGGAAGCGTTTCCCCTCTCACCCTGATCATGTTCTACCCCCACTAGCATTCTTTTGTTCATTCCACTGAGCAAGTTCCTTACATCTTCCTCTGGGATATTGTTCAACTCTTCCTCTAAAATTATTCTTAAATTGGCCAAATTTGGAGGTTCACTATGGCAGAAACCTCTATGTTCTATACTTGCTCTATTGGGTTCATGTCCGAACTTCTGGGTGGCTAAGCTATAACTTCAATCTATTCTTGTTGGAGGTAATTTTGCACCAGCCGAGCAACATGAGGTCAGATATTGTCATGCATTAAAATGAATTCACCCTCGATAATTTTTGTAAAAGGTATTACAAGTGCTTCTAGGATCTCTGTTTATAATCTCTAAGCAGTTAAGTAGCCCTGGTCAATAAGAACCAAAATTCTAGAGGAATTTAAATTATGCCTCCCCAAACCATCACTGAGACTCCTCCATAGGCAACACTTGGAGAAACATTACAAAGAGCGTATCCCTCTCCCCGCCTTCCCCACTCTTTTCCATCCTTCTGGAGACCTTAGGCTGAATATGGACTCGTCGGTGAATAATACGTGGCTTCAGTGTATGTGGAGTGATTAATGCTTACAGTTGTGAAGATGCATGGAATTATTCTAATTCCATTCTGGTACCAGAGAAATATTTATTGTTTTCATTATCAAAAACTTTTACCGAAATTTATTGGTGACCCTTTAATTTTTCTAGCAGTTTGTAACAACTAGTTACATAACAAATAACAAATATTGACACTTGTAGCCTTAATACTTATTGTCCTTCAATGTACCATATTGTATCATTTACTAATTAATAAAAAATTAAAACAAAGTAATTTTAAAAGCATATTTTTCATAATGTTTATTTATTTTCAGGCTTTAGCGCTTATTGAACTTTTTAATGCCCCAACTGGTAGATATAAATCAGATGTTTATCTGCTTCCCAAAAAAATGGGTATGCTATTTATTATTTTAAATATATATATTTTGTATGTGTTTAGGCTATATAAATAGTGTGTGTGCAGGTGTGTGCTTATATGTGTTTGTGTTGAGTGCATATGTTTTTTTTTTTCTTTTATTAAGGGTAGGTGGAAAATTTTTCATAAGATGAAAAGTGACTAACTACAAGAGCAAAAGATTTTTCTTAAAAAAAAAAAACAACCTCCCCCTTTTATTTATAATTATCAATCTATAGAATTTGTGTCAGGAATTATTATATTAGGGGCAGAATAGCTATTTGCCTACTTCTTTGCTAAATATCAAGCCATTCCAGTTAGGAAATGTAAATATCAAGAAGCAGTTAGGTGATGTAATAGTAATGTTTCTAGGACAACTGCCAAGTGCTCTACTATGAAACCAGAATTCATAGGTAGATGGCTCTAATTGTTAATGTAGTTATCATTAAACCCCATTATTGGTGCCATTTTGTTTCTTGCAGCTGCCAATAAGTTGCAACTTACATCAGTACAAGTTTCATTTAAAGCATCATTTTAATAATGTTGAACATGTCGTGTTTTGTGCCTACAAACTACAATTTGTGGACAGAATTAGTTTTCTGTTACCATTTAAAAAAAAACTGCTGCAGAATTGCATTGAATGCTTGTTGATGTTTATGGGAAACATGCACTTGGTAAACAGTTCTTTGAGTAGCTTACACAATCCATTAGTGGTGATTGACATGAAAAATAAAGAACATGGATGACCACTGGAAAAAGTTTGAAGGCAGCGAATTGCAATCATTGTTGGATGGAGATGACACTCAAACCCAACAGCAACTCATGGATCAATTGAATGTAACATGAGAATCTGTCTCCAAACATTTGAAAGCCATGGGATAGATCCAGAAAATGTGAAAATAAAGGGAGAGATTCCGCATGAACTAAGTGAAAGACAGAAAGATAATTGGAAAACCATTTCTGAAATGCTGCTCGCTAGGTACAGAAGATAAATATCTCAATCAAGTTATTAGGTGATGAAAAGTGGATACATTTTTAGAATTCCAAGTGCCAAAGATCATGTGTAGCTCTGGGTGAACCATCAATGTCGATTGCAGTGTTCACTACAGAATAACAACAGTTTTTTTTTTTTAAATAAAAACATTTTTTTATTATCTTGGGTCTGTTGTCCCTTTAGGACTATTTATAAATACAGAAAAAATGCCTGTGTGGTCATACATTAAATTAAATATTTACAAACCTCATTAAAATTAAAATATTGGATGAAGAAATAAACAAAAAAACTGAAAACATACAGATATAAAATAAAATAACATAAGTAAAAAAAAATCATTTCTGGAGGAACTTTATAAGTTCTCTTATCTGAATTTCGTGATCAATCGGTTTGGAAAAGGAGTAGGTGCTTAAAAAGGAGAGATTTAAATGAGGAAACTAATTGTGCATGTTGGATATTGGGAGGGATGGTATTCCACAAGGAGACCGCTTGAATTATGAAGGATTTGTCAAACACAGCAGTTCGGTGAGGAGGTGGATAGAAGTCGGAAGTACTGGATCTAGTCAGACGGGATTGGATGGAATATTTAAATTGTAGGCTGTGAAAAATATAGGAAGGTCGCTGAGTGCTGATGGCTTGGTATAGAAAGGTAGCAAGGAAGTACAGATGGCGGTTGGAAGGATAGAGCCACTTTAAGTTGGTGTAATACTGAGTTATATGCGTATCTCTTGTGGTTCTATTGTGGTCTATATCCTATTGTGGTTGGCCCAGGCATAAAGTCCGTTTATATCTTCCTGTAATTTTTGGATGGTATCAGAGGATTCGGTCGGATTGAAGGAGAGGTAAATCTGGACACTTCCGGCATACAGATGTTATTGACAGTATAGGATAGAGAATGGGAGGTCATTGATGTAGATGGAAAAAAGGGTGGGAGATAAGGAGAAGCCTTGTAGGACACCTCTGGACAAGGATAAAGATTCTGATGGGGGTCATTAGGGATTACAGCATACTGGGAGCAGCCAGTAAGGAAGGATTGGAACCAATTGAGAGCACTAGTAGATAGAAAAGGAGATATTTTTAAGCTTGGTTAGGAGAATTTTGTGGTTTACTGAGTCAAAGGCATTGGAGAAGTCAAGTGGAATACGGATGGTGAGTTTCTGCTGGTCCATGGCTGTATGAGGGTCTTGGGAAATTTTGATGAGGGCAGACTGAGTGGAGTAGCCAGGCCGGAAACTGGACTCGTTGGGATTTAGGAAGTTATTCTTTTCTAAAACGTGAGATAGCTGGGTTCTAACTGGGTGTAGTGATTCAGTTTTTCTGTTATGGCATTCATAAATTGCTGGATAGATAAGGGAAATGTGTAGTTAGCAATAAAAACTGTTATGAATAAAATAATTTTAATATTTTTATGTAATAAATATGTATTTTTTTTTTACAAACATTCCGGTTTCAAATGTACTCACCTGGTATACTTTGACATCTAAAATCAGACACTGGATCCATCATTTAGAAGATGAAGCTTCCCTGTATCTTTGCATTCTTTAAAAAATATACATTGTCTCATATTTTGTTATTGCCAGAAGGTCAGTCAGAGGCATATTGTTGCAACATCCTGTACATTTGCCTATCCTGTTGTTTTCTCTGCTCCTTATGCAGTAGCCCATGTCTTAAATTTTCAGCGATGATGAGGGTGATTATATCCTCACAGATGGCATCAGTCAGGTATGTGTGTGTGCATTCTAGCACATTTATTATACTGTTTAAATACTTTGTGCTTATGGTGGGTGATCATGCATAAACAAACTATAAAATAACAATCAGAAAATCAGTCGTGTTAGACACTACACACTTTCCATTTTGTTGCTTAGTTATTCCGATATTTTGACCCATATTGTATATTTTCATCAGACCTAGGTATCCATTCCCTTATTAAACTACATCCTACTTTCTCCATTGGAGTTTAGCTCTAACACAGGCTTGCAAAAGGTTTTGTATAATATTCACATTTATTTCTTATTTAATTCTATAATTAAACTTTTTTTCTATTGACATAAAGTGTTATTAGTCAATATTCTAGTTACTTATATCTGTTTTGATGAATCTGATCTAGTCAGAATAATTTTATGGCTGATTCATAAAATTATAAACTATACTTCTTTTATTAGTGATTTTGTGTCTGAAAACATAAAATTACAATTATTGAATGTTAGCCAACTTTTGCTTTCATATACTTAACGTATTTCTATGTACAATGAAAGAATAAATATTTGTTTCCATTTATGTTTTAAATATTGTTCAGATTTTCATATATTATTAAATATGTATATATATTTCCTAGATGAATATGTAGCAAGCTTACACTTGCCTACTTTTGATGCTCATTTGACAGAATTAAGTGATGATCAAGCTAAATATATGGGCTTAAATAAAGCTGGGCCTTTTAAGCCTAATTATTACAGGTAATTTACTGTTTTAATTTTTCTCATTAGCTCTGTATTTTATTTATTTTGCTTTTAGTATACCTTGCACAATTAATACACCATGATTAATTATGATTGTACTACAATGACTAAAATTAATACATAAGACAACTTATTACAGACAACATTAATAGGCATATCAGTTTGACATCTTGAAACCAAATTTTATATACGCTTTCTGAAAAAATCCTTTGATTTTGAATTAAAGAAAGTCAACATCTTGTTTTTCACTTCATCGACTGAATTTATATTCCTGTCGCTTAATGAGTTTTTGAGATTACAAAAAAAGAACATGGTGGGTGAGGAATAAAATGCCTCCTCTGTTGATAAGTGAAGGTAATTGATTGATAAGTGGAATATGGATTTCTTCCATATACCACCAAATAGACATCATTACTTTTTTCAGATGAAGTCTTTATCGCACTTCTGTTCTCAGTATTTCTCCAGAACTTAACCATTGTCACGACCATCTTCCCCCTTATAAAACCCACTTTTCATCTTCAATTATTATCCTGTTTAGATAAGGTTCTTCATCTAAATGGGAGAGTAGAGAAAGAAAGTGTTCCTCCGCTGTTGCAAATTAGTGATGATTACTCATTAGGGACGAACCACTTTTCCAATTTCGATACCTTTCCTATCAGTTGTAAATGACCATGTTCTGGGAGGTTTCCTTGTTATAATTGAAGAAAAATTCATTAAGCATCTTGAAAAAAATTGTAGGAAAACTTAATTTAAGAATAATAATGACTTAATTACTATAAAAATTGTTACTTTTATCTTTCTTTGGGTATTTTAAGCATGAAATTTATACACTTTTAATTAATAGAGTTTTGAAATAATCATTATTATTTTTTTCAGGTATTAGTTATACAATTTGGTTTTCTGTTGTTAGAAAGCCTCCGTTCTAGGTATAGAGATGTCAGCCATTTTCTAAATTGCATTTTTCAATACATTATTATAATTGTTAGTTATATGTTGATAATAATTTATTTATAGTACTAATCCTTCTACATTCCATTAATTTGTCAGAAAAAAATATTCATTTGTTATAAGTTTTCTTTGTTAGTCAAATATATTTGTCAAGGGTGCCATCTACTGTCCTAAGTGTTGTTTATTTCTAAATATTTTATTATTTTTAAAAGTGTAAGTCTATATTCTATAGATGAATATTATGTTACGTATTGACCTAATGAATAAAAATTTTAATTATAAGAATGATTTTTTATAAACAAATTAAGAATTTATGTTGTTTCCAAGACAAAATTGATCAAATTTAGCCTTTATCATAAGATTTGCATACCACGGTTAGGACTCTATAATCTCAAGAACAACTATCAGTAAGAGCACCATATCTTAGGTTTGCCTTTTTTTCATTAACTACTCTGATTTATCCTAAACCTTTTGTTTGATTCTTTTTGGAATGTTTTTAAATTATGTTTCGTCTGTTTTGTACGTATCTTATTAAAGAAATTGAATATTTAATGGTTTTCAGCTATTGGAGCTTTATAATAGGGACTTTCGCCAGTATTTGACATGCCTTTACTCTCATAAATTCAAAAAGATATATTCAATATAACGGGTCTTAAAAATGGGACCATTCACTACTGTCTCGTTAAAAAAACTTAAATTTTTTTAAATAGTATATTTTGTTGAATCTTAATAGTTTGTGTTAAAATAAAATAATTCTTTGCATTCATATTAGATATTTTTGACATTCTATACCTCTCTATAATATTAAAGTCATCTACCTCATTGGCTTATAGCTCATAGGGGTCTATTTAAGAGAATTTTCACTGTATATTTATTATTATTTGTTCTAATTCATTTTATTTATTTCTTTATTGTGGAAGGATTAGTAGAGAAATAAGTAGTAAGGATTAATCCAGGACATAATTAATTAAGAACTTTGTGATTTTATGATTTTTATATTGTGCTGTTTTCATGTCCCAAATGAATTTTCTTTGTAACAGAGAAGTGTATTACACATTTAATGTATAAAATTATTTTACAATATCATATTGTTGGCTACCTGGATTATGGCATTTTTACATTTCTTTATCTTATCAGGGAAGAAATATATATTAAGACAGTATTAACTGTATTAAATTATGTGTAGTATAGTGGAAAAGATGATATTATTTTTGTCAAGTTGTTATATGAAACAAATGTGTATACTTTTTAGTTATAGTTCATATTCAACCTTTCTGAGATCTGTGATTTGTACACATAGAATCAAATTATCTTCTCAGGTGGTCAATACTACATATTTTTGGCCTTATTTGCTATTTAAAAATATAGAAATTATAATGAACTTTAAAACATGAATTTGTAAATTTTTGTTTAAATTTGTAGTGATGTTTTCAGTACTGTAATATTTAATTATATATTAAAATGTGTTCATAATTTATGCTAAAAAATAAGAATTACAATAAATAGCTAGTTAAAAAATAAATGCATAACTGTTTAACATATTCTTCTGTGTATTCCCTTAATTTATTTTTTGTTGTACTTATAAGAAAATAATTCATCCTAACAGGAGTAGTAAGTCATATTATATCAGATGAGATTCATTTAGAATGCTCTTCTGTATTACCAACTCAATTCACATACAAATCTGTAATCCTCTAAAACAATTAGGAGTGACTGTAGAGTTGCCCATAACTAAAAAGAAAACATGAAAATGTTAACAAAAAATGGTAAGGGTGGTGAAAAAAGTTTGAGACTCCTTGGAAAGCTCTTCCCAATCAACTCAATCTGCATACAGATTTTTAACCATTTAACTTGATCTGGAAGGGACATAGAGATGACAACACCTTAAAGTATAGAGAGTAGAAATGAGAAAAATCGCTGGGACATGCCAAACTTGTATAATAGTGTTCTGCAATAAAAACAACAAAAAAAAGTCAGTTTGATCAAATGGAATTCACTAGAATTGAAACAGGGAATATGAATATATATATATATATATATATATATATATATATATATATATATATATATATATATATATATATATATAACTTAAGATATGTATTACAATCGGATAATAGGTCATGAAATAATTAAGTTATAATATATAAAGGTCGACTTATAAAAAAAACATTGTAATATATACATATATATATATTTACAACTTTTCCTTAATCAACCTTTGAGTATTAAATTTAAACTTAACTATTTAATTGGGAATAAGGTCACTTATTAATTATTTAATAAACTATTGAATGTTCATTTCTTCTATGTTTATTGACGTTTCGATCCCGGTATTTTCTTTTTATAAGTCAACGATGGGATCCTCTTCAAAGCTAGAATTTAAAAAAATAGAGCTTCGATCAGGCCAGGGACACACCGACAGTCTCAGCACCGTCCACTAGCACATATATTAAGCTACCCTACCAGTATTTTTAAGATAAGTATCCATTTTAAGATTACGCCACTGCATTTCGACTTATTTGAGTTTTTTCATATAAGGGTGTATTCTTATGTTTCCGCAGCCGTAAATTTTAAAAATGGCCTCCATTTTAAGATTACGCCACTGCTTTTCGACTTATTTAAGTTTTTTTGATTTATTCGATATAAGGGTGTATTCTTATGTTCCCGGAGCAGTAGATTTTGAAAATGACCTCCATTTTATGATTACTCCTCTGCGTTTTAACTTATTCAAGTTTTTCGAATTTATCCAATTTAAAGGTCTACTTTTATGTTTCCGGCGTCGTAGATTTTGAAAATTACCTCCATTTTATGATTACGCCATTTCATTTTGACTTATTTAAGTTTCTCGAATTTATCCAATTTATAGGTCTACTTATATGTTTTTGGAGCTGTCAATTCTGAAAATGACCTCTATTTTATGATTACTCCACTGCGTTTCAACTTATTTAAGTTTTTCTAATTTATCCAATATAAAGGTCTACCATTATGTTTCTGGAACCATAGATTTGTAAAATGACCCCGTTTTAAGTTTATGCCACTGTGTTTTAGATTATAAAAGTTTTTTGACTTTTTCGGTATAAGGATCTACTTATATGTTATCGAAGACGTATTTGAAATTTTTCTAATCTCTAATATTTAATCTCCATTTTATGATTAAGTCGCTGTATCTCGATGAATTAAGCTTTATTTTTTCAATACAAAGTTTCATCAATATGTTTTCGAGTATGAATAAATAAATATTATGAAGCTAAGATTAAATTAACCACAAAACACAAACTAAAAAGCAATTGATAATAAATTTAACCTACCCTATTCAGATTTTTCAGCTAATTGTTCGAAATCTTATAATTTTTTACAGCAGACCACAACATTAAAATAGATAACTAAAATAAAATTAAAAATGAGACAAATATTTTATATATTTCGATTGGATATTTTTATTTATTTATTGAAAATAAATTAATCCTTCGTATTTTGTTTTTTATTCGAAGGAAAAATCAAAACAATTGAAAAAAACCAAAACACAGTGGCCTAATCTTAAAATTTAAGTCTTTTCAAAAACTACGGCTCCGGCAACACAAAAGTAGACCTTTAAATTCGATTTAGTTAAAACGCAATGGCGTAATCATAAAATGGAGATAATTTTAAAAATCTACGGCGCCGGAAACATAAAAATAGACCTTTAAATTGGATAAATTCGAAAAACTTGAATAAATCGAAACGCAGTAGCGTAATCTTAAAATTGAGGCCATTTTCAAAATCTACGGCTCCGGAAACATAAGAATACGCCCTTATACGAAAAAAATCCGAAAAACTTAAATAAGTCGAAACGCAGTGGCGTAATCTTGTAATGGAGGTCACTTTCCAAATCTACGACTCCGGAAACATAAGATTACACCCTTTTATGAAAAAAATCGAAACACTTAAAGAAGTCGAAACGCGGTGGCCTAATCTTAAAATGGAGGTCGTTTTCAAAATATGCGGCTCCAGAAACAAGAATACACCCTTCTATGAAAAAAAATCGAAACGCGGTGGCCTAATCTTCAAACGGTGGTCATTTTCAAAATCTACGACTTCAGAAACATAAGAATACACCCTTCTATGAAAAAAAACTTAAATAAGTCGAAACGCTGTGGCTTAATCTTAAAACGGGGGTCATTTTCAAAATCTACGATTCCAGTAACATAAGAATACACCCTTCTATGAAAAAAAATCGAACACTTAAAGAAATAGAAATGCGGTGGCCTAATCTTAAAATGGAGGTCGTTTTCAAAATCTACGGCTCCGGAAACATAAATGTAGACCTTTATATTGGATAAATTCGAAAAACTTAAATAAGTCAAAACGCAGAGGCGTAATCATAAAATGGAGTTCATTTCCAAAATTTACGGCTCGGGAAACATAAGAATACACCCTTATATCGAATAAATCAAAAAAACTTAAATAAGTCGAAACGCAGTAACATAATCTTAAAATGGAGGTTATTTTAAAAACTAGGTACAGGACAGAATAATACTAGTCCCTAAAAAATCCGAATAGGTACAATAAATCGATATCCGTAAGTGTAAATTCTACTTAGGAGAGCATAATAATAAACTTCATATTGGAGGTGGGGAGATGGGCATTATTTTAAAAAAATATATAAAATTTACAAAAAATTAAAACATTAATTTGAAATGAAAACGGTTGAATTTGACTTGGAAAAAATTGAAATGTTAAAATAAATGGATATGTAACCGCGTTATCATAATTATTTTTGTATCTATGCCTCAAAATCAAAATCTATGCCTTCGATAATATAGTAAGTGGCCTTCATTTCGAAAAAAACAACAAACCTTGACAAAAATTTGAAAGTTGAATTTGAAATGGAAAAGGTTGAATTTGACATGGAAAAGGTTGAATTTGAAATGGAAAAGGTTTAATTTGACTTGGAAAAGTTCGAATTTGATTTGGAAGAGGTTGAAATTGACTTGGAAATGCTACATATATATATTTTTTTTTTCGGTTGCCGCTACAGACCATGAAGATCTTTGACCGCGACTGTGGTTTCCTAGACCACATCCCGATTCCCGATTTAAAGTAAGGGAGTAGGGTCATCAATCCTACGCCCGGTGAGTGTGAGTTGCCTCTAGTAGGCTGACAGGCTTCACATACCCAGGGGGGGGGGGAGGAATCTCGGGCAGCGTGGATTTCCTTGGTGGACGGTCCACCCATCCAAGTGTTAGCCACGCTCGACGTTGCTTAACTTTGATTACCTATTGCAAGCGCCTTAGCCCTCAAGGCTACTCCAGCCGCATACATATACATATATATATTTTACATTTGTGTTTCTTGATAAATATATGTATGTGTGCACAAACACACACATATATATTTTTTTTTTTCAGTTGGCTCTAGAGACCTTGTAGATCTTTGGCCGCCTAAATCAGCCTTCTTCACGTTTGCCAATCTTGCGTATCTTTGTTGAGCCTATCTATCCATCTGGTTTTTGGCCTCCCATGTGGTCTCTTACCTACTACTCTGGCATTCATTGTTGTGTAAAGGCGACCTGATGGATTGCTTCGAGCAACATGCTCCACCCCTCTTAAACTCCTTGTCTTCATATCATGATATATTGGCTGATCAGTTTCTTATAGCAGTTCTTTATTGTTTCTTCTCCTCCATGTTATGAAGTTCTGATCCCAGATAGGTCCTGTTATCGTATGGAGGAATTTTCTTTCAAATTTCTCAATTCTATCTTCTAGAGATACAGGAGAACGGGCTTTATCACGGCGTTGTGCACCATTAGTTTGAGATTTCTGAAGATTTTTGTGGATTTCTATATCCTTGAAAGGAAGTTCTGTTCGCACTTGTTATTCGCTGATCTATCTCTAATAGTTGATCATTTATTGAGGTTATTGTGAAGCCGAGTTATTTGAATCTGTCCACTTTTAGGAATGACTTAATAGTCCACGCAGATCATGCAATTTGGGTGAATTTTTCGGCTATCATATATTTCATTTTGAATTCATTGACTTGTAGCCTGATTTGCTCTGCTTCTCTTAACAAAGTCCGAGTGAGTCTCTTAGTATCCTCTTGATTGATTTTGAAGATCATCCGCATATCTTGGATTTTGTTTTTGATTTTTCCCTTCCTCGCCTTTTAGGCTATACGGGGGTTTCTGAAGGTGGTGAAAGCGGAACATGGAGGAATCCGCATCCAGGCACAACGAAACTTCTTGACTATTCTCGGGTATAACGGGACGTATTTTTTCAGAATTACGGGAGAATTTTCTGAACTCAAAACCACCTGCTCCAAATAAGGCCATCAATCATACAGTTCCAGAGCCTCATCACTATTGCGAGCACCAGTGATTACATTTTCTACATATATTTGGTCATGACACTGGGCAGCTTTAGGAAAATAATGGTCTTCTTCTTGAAATAATTGTACAATGGCTATCTGTGTAATAAAAGGAGTACATTTCAACCCAAATGACAGGGTAACCAAATCATACTCCTGGATTGGCTGTGATGAAGATTCACTTCTCCTAAA